ACAAACCTAAGCACTCTCCCCATTCTTCATCCTCATCATAGTTATATGTTGTCGCACACCACTTCTCTCCAAAGAAAGTCGAAGCACAGGTAAAGTGTCTTTCTCCTTCGTACAAGAATGGAAAAACACAACATTTGTTGTCCGTTGTCCTTACAGTGCAGTCTGAAAGAAAGGAAAGAAATAGCTTAGGATGAGTCATAAAGCGATGCCATAATAGACCATTTTCATATTCCCGGTATTGGACAGGAACTAGCTTGCAACTGAGGCCAATGCGGAGAGTCTTTTCAAATGTAAATGACATTTATCACTTTTAAATGATGTTCCCCGGCCGCGTTAGCTTCCATTGTAAGCTAGTTCCAGTCCAAGACTACGAATATGGCCTATTACGGTGGAACAGAAAATTGATGTGGTGCAACGAAATTCAGTTATGAATAATTGCTTTCACTAAAGGTCTCATGTAAACCCGTGTCATTCTAATGAAAGTTATTGAGAGATAATTTTTAATGTTGTATTATTGTACCATTATTATGTTGTTCAAGGTAGTTCTAAAGTCAATATTAAACGTGGTTCCACTGCTGGCAACCGGTCTGTTCTCTTGGGGTCAGATGAGTGTTTACGCAAAAGAGCGCTATGGACCAGAAGGGATTGGAGCGCGCCACGTCCATGTCTCGTCCCAGTCCCTTTTAGTCTGAGTGCCTCTCCTCATATTTCGAGAGGAAAGCAGACTGCCATCAGTCTAGGTTCCAGTGTGTGCAGTTCTCAGTTTCAAGTGGTATTGTTAATTAAGCCGTGCAAGGTAGAAACACCAGTCATTCAAAAGGAAGTAGATAGTTTGAACTGTTCCTTTACTTTTGTGCTTGAAATCCTGAGCAGTACTTTGATAAGGTATTGTCAGAAGTCTTTAACTATTGCTAATTATCCTGTATAAAGTGGTATTAACTTTTAGTGCGACCATTCAAATGAAATGTACTGAATAGCACTTTGGTGCACTACTTTTGTACCTTTGGATTACTTAATTATAAACTACACCTCGAGTAATAAACATGAAACTTGGATGTCAACAATTGAGAGATTAATTCCTTATTCTCACAATTGGCATGTCACACTTAATATTTTCAAGGGGAAATTTTTTATCGCTGATCACTTCTTGCGTCATAAGTATCACGTGACTTACTGGCAGGTTTGCCATAAACCTCAACGCGCATGCACGGCCAGTTGCTCCATTCTTTGGGGACAAACCGGACAAAGAGGGCTAGGACAGGTTCATCCAGGTTGTCTTTTAACATGTCCTTGGCGTTAGAGTTCCCGGTAAAAACCTGTGAAATAACAAAACAGATAACAAAACTTTAAAATTAACTTTACAGGCGTCTATTTTAATCGCAGAGGTAAAAATATGGTTTGAAAGATTTGTGCCATGCAACAAAATAAGCCTTGTTTTTATCAAACTTTTCTTTCAGCGGGAAAGTGCAATTCGTTTATAAAAAAATTTGTTGTGTTTCGTTCGCGGCAGGTAAAAACTTTGTTAGTTAGCAGCCTGAAGTTGATAAAGTTGGGGCAAAACGAAAACAAGTCAGTCGAGTCCGGCTTAATTGTGTTCTCTTAATATTCCTACATTATTCTTATCTTTAGTTCGTCCGTATTTTAAAGGTGCTATTAGCTCATAGACGTAACGTATCAAACAAATGATTCACTGATTGATTGATTGATTGACTGATTGCTTGCTTGATTGATTGATTGATTGAGTGTCCAGTCGACTCTTGCTTCGTCGTTATATTCACCTTGTTTGTACCATTTTCCTTGTATGTTTCCCAGTTCTCTCTGTCCAGTGACGTCTGAATCTCGTATTTCGTGACGTAATCTGTATCGTATTGAGAAGATCCCTGCGTGGCTACTGCGCAGACTCCAGAACGCTGAGGAAGTTCAATCTGATAAAGAAAAGACATTACAATTTGTGTCAACAAAGCAAGTCAACCATCATCATCATCATTATCACTGTAACGTTGAAATCACTGTCAGTTCTTGTCCGATTTCAGTTCCTGGCAGATTTTCAGACAGCGACGAGGATTTCCTTTCCAGGAGGCAAGCGATGTTTTCTCCATGCGCTCAAAGACAGTTCTGAGCCCTTACCTGGAGATATGGATTTGGATCTTCGTCAGGCTTGTTTGGACACCAAGAGCCGTCCTCGTTGTTCAGTCGTCCTTGAGATGGAGCGTAATCCACATATGGTGAATACCACGATGAGGCAAGTATTCCTCCGCCAGAGATTGTATCATCTTCCATTCCAAGGGAATTGCCGCGGCAAGCGACATCTGAAATAATCAGTTAAAGGAAAAACGAATACCACTCACAAAGAATCACTTTCCCTTACAATACATTCTCGGGCCCAGAGTCTCTTCGATTCCGCGGTAAGAGGCTGGGTCCAAGGCGACCCAACCGCCGGAGATAGTCTGAGCTCGAGATAACTTACAATGCTACAACAAGTCCTTTTTTTCCTTTTTTCCCTACCAGTGCTCCGAAGCACGCAGTTATTTAATAGTTGTTTCTACTTAAGTGGTCAACGCAAGTGATTAAGACTTCCACGGCCATTTGCAGATCTCCTGCCAGGAAGGGAACCTTTTCTAAGACCCGTCATATACGTTATGTTTACTTGCAAATGTGTCGCGACTAACAATACCTTCACAATCCTTTTGAAATTGCTTGCATTGGTAGGTGTTCCAATATTCGTACTATAACAACACACAGACAAAAACTATGTTAAAGAGTTATTAAAAAGTGACGAAACATTGTAACTTGAAAAGTGTGAATCCACCGGTTCTTTCTACCTCTATACACAAATAAAATAGTTATAAACTAGCCTACAACACAGGCGTAGTTTTGGCGAGCGGGCGCATTGCGATAGGGTGTACGCCATCGTATCTTCGAAAAACAAGGGAAGCTTGGGATGAGAGAGCAAAAAAAAGAGTTCTGGGTTGGCCGCCCGAATACGCGAACAAAATTCTTTCGTGCTGACCCAGCAAAATGTCAGTAAGAAAGACTACAGTATAAGAACCCGCGTATAAGAACCTGAAATTTAAGAACCTGTTAGGCTAAAATTTCCCTGTTAGGTACCCTTCACATAAAAACCATTCTGGGCTAAAATCTCAATTCAGGTTTTTATTTTCAAAATATAGAATTTTTTTTCAAATACAATACAGTACATCGATCACATGCGATACAAAAAAAAGTAACACAAATTAAGAACCTGATTAAGTACCCAGGTAGCCTAATTTCACAGTAAACGCCATTTATCTAAGAACCCATGGAGGATAACTTGAAAAAACCTAGGTTCTTATACGCTGGTTTTGACTGTAGTTTTAAACTTTTATTCTGACTTTTGCGCACCACCATACATGTATGGCGGTGCGGAAAGGACGAAAAGCAACCAAACTATTTCAGTTGAAGGCAATGGCTGTTTCTCGCCTGTGCCATTGCGGTACATTTTCGTAGAACACTCGAAGATATAGAATTTCCGATTTAAGTCCTTTTTCTTTACATGAGTTCCTTTCAGCGACTCTCCAAAAGGGGCACATCACCATGGTGTCTAATAATACTGCAGGATGCGTAGCAACCTCACGAGAAACACCGCAAGAGAAGTAACCTTCTAAGCAGTCGCTCTTTGTCACGCGTTCTTCTCGTCGCTCGTAGCGTGACATGCGTCACGTGTCACGCGTCACTAGGAGGAGGAGGTGGAGCATGCAATTAACAAACCTGAAACCTACTTATCTTACTCATACTGTAAAACTTACCGACTTTTCCGAGTATCCATAATGATCTACAACCTCACCGAATGTACATCCCTCTTCATAGCACTCGTGGTCGATGTCATTGAAAAACCCAAAAAAGTTAAATGCGTGTTTTTTGTCCAGGACGATCTCCTTACGTGGAAGTAATCGGCCTGTATTAATAACACAAGTTTATATAAACATGATTTATGTATTTATTTATTTATTTATTTATTTATTTACCTTATTTTATTTATTTATCCATCTATCTATCTATTTGACATTTTCATCGTCCTAGGTTCAAACAAACCGTCGTGTTCCTCTGGTAAAATGTTCAAGCAGGTCTGTGTCGAGTTGGCATGTTCAAAGCTCCTTCGTCAAATAAAGCTGTTTACTAATGTGTCGGACTTGTTTTCTTACGGTCGTAAAGCTAAAGCCAAAATCAGATCGAATCACTCATTAAGACGCCACGGTATTGGCCTTTGTAGACTACGAGTAGTCCCTCTTTCGCTTAGTCCGTCGTGCGTAACGCGAAAGAAAACCGCGAGAAAAAAATGGCCGCGCGAAATCCTTGGGGCGAGGAGCGCCCTCCTCGCCTCCAGGTTTTCGCGCGGCCATTTTTTTCTCGCGGTTTTTTCTTTCGCGTCATGCACGACGGACTAAGCGAAAGAGGGACTACTCGTAGTCTAGGCCTTTGTAGCAAGCGCGGAAAAAGTCGCGTGAGCAATATCGCGAGTACTTTTGGCTTAGCGCTTGATTTGTTAAGAATAAACCACCTTCTCTGTGATTGGTGAAGATTATTGAACATGATTTATGAACCATTGTAACTCAACTCCACAAATGCAACCCAACTGTGGCTTATAAGTTGCACAATACTGTGCGATATCTTTTAAGCTCCACCGAATGCAGCTCAATGATAACAGAGAAACGGCAGAGGCAAAGGACCCAGCAAAGACTCTAACAAGATTAATCCCGTTCGTTTGTGCGTACGAAATTTTTAAATTTAAAAAGCGTTTTATTTACAAATAGTTTATTTGAGCATAAATGATGCTTCCACATCTGAGGTCAGCTAAAACTAAACTCATCTGTTACAGCTCTAGACCAGATTGAACGAAAGCCAGTTGCCGCGAATATGGGATAACACCAGACCTTGGCCTTCATGATCAGTTTTCGCTAACTTCGTTAAATTTGGTGTCACTGAACATACATGTAGTTAGGACCATCCGGATGTTTTGAACGGGCAAAAGATAGTTATCATTTCTCATTTAATAACGTCAACAATGTGTTTTAAAGATAATTTGGTTTCATCAACTGGGTTGATAATCTGAATTGGCCACCGTAAAGAGACTCAAAAGCTGACGTTTCGAGCGTTCGCCCTTCGTTGGAGCGAATCGCGGAATTGTGGGTTGTGTGTGGTTTATATACAGAAAGATGGAGCTACGCTATTGGTTGGTGCATGGTAACGTGAAAAACAACATAATAAATTAGTTGAATGAAAACTACTCCCCACCGACGCAGCACCACAGCTTTCCAAAGTTTTAGAAATTTAACCCCTCTATTCAATTGTGTTTTAAAGTTGTTTATACTTTTTTGACATTAATTGTCAAATCGTGTTTAAGAAAAGGATTGTTGTTGTTGTTGTTGTTGTTGTTGTTGTTGTTGTTGCTGTCAGTATCGAGTTAGCAACCGTGAACTTGTCACTAATTAACTACCTCTTACGGGGGCTATTGTTCATTGGAGGACTTTATACATAATTATGTTCCCAAAAGACAAGCAATAGAAATTATTCGCTCAACAGGCTGCGACAAGCCCACTTAATTGTCCCACGCGCGAGCGGCGAAGCCGCCAGAACGAGTCGACGAGCGAAACCTGCGGGCAGTTCGCGGGCAGCCCGCTCGCTTATACCGTAGAATTCCGAAAGTAACGCTTCCCGCGAAAATAACGGCTCCCCGAAAGTAAAGTTAGTTTTTTACCTTCCTATTGAACCCCGAAAGTAACGGCCCTTTGAAGAAGTAACTAAAAGAGAAAGTCTGCCGTTCTCAAGCGCGGGTTATGCGGATGGAACAACCTGACTGCGGGACTGAACATTGCCTGGAAGAGTTATCTGTGATTTTATTTCGAACTTAACTGATTTTTCTTGAAACTATGATTTATAAGCTGTATTTGTCTAGCAGCAGAGTCAAATGATATACTGTAGTGTAATCAGTTGCATTGCGATATAATGCGACCATTACACTTTCGCCGTACAGTACCAACCGGTCTAGGGACTGTTTTTGTTTATACAGTCTCCTTTGTTTATGTGGGTAGTTGGAAACATACGTTAACGGAACGTTAATTTCTTGTCGTGTCCGCTTTGTCTGAAACCTCTGTTACCGTACAAACGCTTTTTATTCATCCGATAGTGACGGCTACCCGTGAGTAACCAGTAACGGCTACCATAAAGTAGCGACCCCTTTTGCCTTCTAAATCCGAAAGTAACGGTGCCGTTACTTTCGGAATTCTACGGTAAGCTCTTGGCAGTGGGCTCGTTATCACAGCTTGGCCAATCTCACGTTTGACCCACAGGTGAGCTGGTTCTCATGCTATTCACTCACCGTGAATTGTTCCTGACAGTGCCAGTAGAACAGCAAATAACGATAACATTGTCATTGTACGTCAAGCCTGAAATTTAAACAAACCGCAATCAAGAATATTCGCTGCAACATAATTATTTGGGCGCCAAGCCTAACGTAATTTATGAAACCATCATTATTAGGGCATAAAATAAAATTCGTATAAAGCCAAATGAAGCAGAACCGAGTTCCAAATGACAGGTTCTTTCGATTCAGTGAGGCATTTACTATCTGTTGTTTCCAGTTCCAAACAATGGCGATCTCAGTAAAAGAACAATATTAGCATTGCTTTGAATGTTAACTCAGCTAACGGTTTTCTTTCCAAAAAGGCGCAAAACATTCTGAAGGCGTGTAAATTATAATTATTTTACTCCAGCAGCTCAAGCTAACAGAGAAAACTATATTACTTTGGCAGACGAACTCGAAACAATTTAATATGGCTTAATTAGGATTGGTTTAAGAATACTTTCAGAATGCACATGAGGGAAAATTACCGCTGCAAATTCATGAGAAAATATATGTTTAAGTTAAACGATCATGAGCGGGCAACACCTTGAGCGGTTAGAATAGCTTTTGCCCTGGAAAAAAGTGTTTGCATAACGAGGAAAAAAGTGCAATGATAATTACGAAAGAAGATTATATTGCAAAATGTTGAATGATTTTGTTGTTCCTTACCGTATCAGTTGGCTTCTTGATCAACTCACTCCAAGGGCGACTGCTCGCAAGAAATGTTCTTTGCACAATGATGTTTATCATGGTTTACCCAGCCTTATTAAGGATGTCGACCCTTGGAAACCGCTGTTCATTTTGTTGACAGTTATAATATATTTGCATCATAATGCAAGTCAAGATACTGGCCTCGAGTTGAACACGCAACTGGAGAAACGGTCTTTGGTAGAGTTTACAGAGAAATCAGTCAGCTGAGCTGGAAAGGGTACGTCTAAATACTCAGCTCTGTGAACAATTTTACTGGGAAACCTATTTGCATGCATTTTGATAAATTGAACTAGTTTCGTCAGTTAATTAGTCCTTTCAGTAACTGCGTATACCCGGTCAACCCTTTAAAACGTTTAAGAAAATAGCCCAAAGAAAATACGCTTGCTGATTGGTTAAAAATCGTGTTTCTAATAAACAACTTGATATGAGCTCGAGATTTCCGGATATCGTGTGATAGTTGACGAAGGCGTAACCCTTGTCAACTACTACTCATAGAAACTCGATTTCGAATAATCTAATTGTTTTAGTATAAATTTACTAGTCAGTCAAAACTAAATCTAGATCCTCTTCACAGACACTTCAGACTACTCACTATCTACAAAAGAATAGATAGCGAGTAGCGTACGTAGCCAATTAGTCTGGGGGGTACTCTCAGAAACATTTGGTGGGGGTTTGCGGCCCACTTTCCAAAGCCCTTACCCTAATTATGACCAAAATCTGCGATTTTCTCTACCCTATTTATGACCAGACCAAAAATTTGATAGCTAGCTATTTATGACCGTTGCAGCTGGCACAGTTGCCCTAAACATAATTTTTGAGGAGCTTCTTCTAAACAACATACCCAACTCAAGACTACCGTACAAAACCATGCCTTATTTACAACCAAAATGGCCAAAATCGCTACCTTTTATGACCAAAACGGCTGAAAAAACCTACCCTTTGGGGCCGCACATACCCATATAGCCCATATAAGGGAGTACCGCCGGGCCAATTAGTTTCATATTCACTGTTAGAGACAAACACTGTGAAGTTTAAGTGCCTCGACCAAGAAAACAATACAAGGAGCCCGGGCAGAGTTCGAAACCGAACGGTATGAGGATTCATTAGCTGCCGCACCTTCCTCCCCTGGGGAAACTTTTTTTAAAAACAGTTAAATTATATAAATATAACATATATTAAATATATGCTAAAATATATCAGCAACGCCACGAAGGCGTTACTACAAGAAAGAACAATGACACTTGAGAGGTTTTCTGTGTATAAAGGCTATATATATCTTAACATTGTATTCAAAGATTTTAACGACACAGTCAGGCACAAGCTGTTTATCTAAGGAGACAATCCGCTACTGTTGTGCACGACTTGACCTCTGGACTATCTTTATTCACTTTTATTTCAAGCTTTCATCTGTTGAGAGAGGGTGATATTAGTCTATTTCAGAATCTCCCTAATGATAGACACCTCCCTAAAAACACCCGTTGTAGATCGAAGTGATCGGCTTTAATTAGTACTTGGCAAGAAAAACTCTTAAGGTCGGTCGAGAGTGTAGAAGCAAGGAGAGTAGAGGGGAGCTTGGTACTAGGTCTTTGCAGATTTAACCACTCCTGGTGTATCGTACCTTTTGACTAAATCATTGGTTTGTTTCAAAAACTAAGTAAAACGCCATGGATGAAATTCTCTGATTTGACTGATCTGCATATGGAATAGTTTTAAGGTGGCTCAAAACAGTTTCCAGCACTTATATCTGGATGGGTCGTTATAGCCACCTTTTATCACTTGATGCGACAATCATGGTATGAAAAAACTGCCCAAGCATTGGTGAACACGTTGTCATCATTTTCATGACACAACAGGTTACCATAGCAACAGTATGACCTCCTAAAAACACCCTTAATTACAGCTTTACGGGCTTATAATTCAAAAACGGCACGGTGACTTCTTTTATATTATTAACTTTTCGAAAATTTAAGGTGGCTCTGAGCCCCATGTACGGAATTTTTTTTAAACTTTGCCAAAAGTTGTGTCTTATCATACCTATCAAAAGTTGATAATTAAAAAAATTTTCACCGTGCCGGTTTTGAATTATAAGCCCCTAAAGCTGTAATTAAGGGTGTTTTTAGGAGGTCATACTGTTGTTATGGTAACCTATTGTGTCACCAAAATGATACCAACGTGTTCACCAATGCTTGGGCAGTTTTTTGATACCATGATTGTAGCATCAAGTGATAAAGAGTGGTTATAACGACCCAAACAAATCTAAGTGTTGGAAACTGTTTTGAGCCACCTTAAAACAGAGGAGACTTTGTAATCTACATGCAGTTATTGTTTCCCTGTGATTGATCTAAATCAGCGATAATTTGTCACCGTACGCCATGACTGCAAAATAAGACGAGGTCTGAGACGAGGTGGTTTCACAAAGGCGCGTTAAAAGTGCAATTGCAAGCAGTGTTCATGTAACAAGCCATAAAAAAAAAGAATCGTAAATTAAACAAACCAGGCTGCCTAAGTTAGGGCAAATATGCAGGGCCAGAATTGATTAGCAAACAAACCTAAGCAGTCTCCCCATTCGCCATCTTTATCATAGTTGTATGTTGTTGCACACCACTTCCTTCCAAAAGTAAACGAGCTTGATGTGCATGCGAAGAACCTTTCTCCTTCGTACAGAAACGGAAACACACAGCATTTGTTGTCTGTTGTCCTTACAGTGCAATCTGAAGAAAACGGAGAAAATGGCGATTTAAAAAGATAAAACAATTGATCAATTTCTGAGACGTACTGGCAAAGTTTTAGCAGACGATACTCTTTTCTCGTATTGACTTACTAGCAGGTTGGCCATAGACCTCAACGCGCATGCACGGCCAGCTGTGCCATTCCTTGGGAACAAACCGGATAAACAGGGCTAAAACCGGTTGATCCAGGTTAATTTTTAACATGTCCTTGGCGTTAGTGTTACCGGAAAAAACCTATAAAAATAACAAACGGATCACAAAATGTTAAAATCAACTTCATTCTGACACATCATAAAAATTGTAAACTACAACGAAACTTTCTTTCGCCTAAATGGACTGCTTCAATTATATCAAAACAAAACGACTAGTTTCTAAGAAACGTTTATGCTTCGTCGGCGAGGGATGAAACACCTTGTTGATTATCAGCTTGCAGTTGATAAAGTGGTGAATTTGGACGGCTGACTTTTTCAGCGTTAGCCTTTTGGTCGGAGCCGGAACGTAGTAATCGTTTAACTTTGTCGTTATCATATGTTATTTAGAAAACAACCCTAAGAAAATACGCGCGTTGATTGGTTAAAAATCGTGTTTCTATAACTGATGGAAACACAGAGCTAGCACGAGCTGTTGACGTAATGATGGCGCGAGCAAAGAGAATTTATATTTTGATGATCAAAGTAAACAAGCTGTTTTTCTTTTTTACGTCGCCATGTTCACTTTCGCTCGTGAAAGTTTGGGAGAACGAGAAATCGTCATCTAAATCCTCTTCACAGACACTTCAAAAACGCCAAGAAGCGGCCGTCATTTTGTTAACAAGGGCACACTGCTACGCTACTCAC